TGGGGTGGCCCTGCCCATGGCAGGGGGGTTGGAACTAGATGATCTTTGAGGTCCCTTCCAACCCAAACCATTCTATGACTCTGTGATGGATGTACTAACAGTTCAAGCTATTAAATACAGCTCCTGTTCTACACAAGACTTTGACTCATGAAGGACAAGGGAAAGTATAAGAGCCTGGAATGAAATTTTGGTGTAGCATCGTGTCTGCGAGTACAATATTATAGAAGCAAAAGGTCAAGCTTACTTTGGAAAAGCAAGGATTTCATTGCCAATTATTGGTGATAAGGGGAGGACGCCTCCAAGTTAGGTAAGATAGATGTTGGCTCTTACTTCTAGGTCTGCCTCTCCCACAGGTCACTGTCCCACTATCATTACACTAGGGCTTACACACTCTTCTGGAACCTTGTGTATTGTCAGTTCTTCAGGGATCAGCTGCTCTTCCATGGTCACATAATGAATGCTTTGGAGCCTGTTTCTAAGCCCTTCTTGTCCAGGGACCGAATTCATTCAGCCTTGCAGAGAAAATTGGAGTGGACAGTGGATTTGTCATGTGGTTTTCTATGTACAGGTGAATATGTGCAGCTGGTGTAGCTGCATGCCCATGATCACACAATGTAAGGAGTCCGGCAGCCTAAATTCAAAGAGTTGGAGGAAGTTCTGTATGTATTTAATAATTTCTTTTTTAATATTGTATCATGTGTCTTCTTACCAGTTTCTGTCCGATGGAAATAACACATTTTCTGATTGGCTAGGTACATACACAAGTGGCTGTCATTAGCAGCACCACATGTTCTGTCCATGTTACAGATGTTTCTCAGGCGGTATTTGAACACCATTTCATGCCTGCATCCTCTTTCAGCCACTACTACTGCTATCTTGTCTGTTTTTGATGGAAAACAGACACCTTGCTCATTAGTCTGTTATTCAGTTGCTGATTAGTCAAATTCTCAGACTCCTCATTTTGTTGCAGAATAGTTAGGCTTCATATTTTGTTAGGCTTCATAGCATTGCTCTAACTTGCACTTGTCACCCTTTTCAGCTGCAGTAACGATGATAAAGGGGAGGCTGCAAGACTGTCCTGGTCCAATTTGGAACAAGGCAGCCCTCTTTTTGAATGCTGTTAGTGAGACCTTACACCGTGCTAAGCCTGTTAAAGACAGCCAGGATCCACAACGGTTAGACCATCAACAGTAAACAAGAACTTCTGGAGGATGATATCGTTTGACCTTGCATTTTATTTCAGTTTAAGGTTGAAGCAGCCACCATCAATTTTACAGCGAACATGTGGGGTTTGTCATCGCCTGAAAAAGCTGAGGCAAGGAACAGAAGAGTGAAATGAATAGGTATAAAGCCCTGTGTGAGTCCACTCCTGGCAAGGAATCTCTTTACACATTTTCTATTACATAGGCTTTGTACCATTATGAAAGGAGAAAATATGGTTACGGAGTCTGTGAGGATGAGATAGTCTGCTGAAGATCTTTGAGACCTACTCAGCTGACAAGCTTATGCTGTACTTCAGTCAAATACAGATGGTAGCACTACTCTCTTAGGTTTTTTCTGAATTAGTCTAGGAATATTGTATCTGTGATTCTGCAGCCAGTTGGAGCCTTTTTAAAATAAAGATACAGGGGTTATCAAAGTAGTAATTGCACACAAAAAAATCCAATGTCTTTTCTAGTGCTTTAAAGTAACTTTATAAAACAGCTTTGTACAAAAGAACTTGGATTTAAAATATTCATAGAGAACGTCCCGGGTTTAGCTGTTATGTTCCTGCCTGAGACTATCCTGTGCCTTGCTGTTGGTGTCTGTTGTTGTACACAATCTGTGGTATGACAGAGGTAGCGTATGACTCTGGAGGGGATGAGATAATGTCACTGACTCTCCTGAATACGGTCAGTGACTGCATACAGAAAGGTGTTTACATGTGTAAATCCTGGTTTTTGTCTTTTTTCTTTTCTCCTTAGAGCTCCTTCATGGACATTATAATTTCTTAAACTTGTTTATGTTCTCAATTTAAATATTGAGTATTTAGCAATATTCTTGGAAGATGAAACTAATTTACGTAGTAAGAACTCCGTCGTGCAGCATCTTCTGGTGAACTCTGTGGCCATACTAACTTCTGCACTAAACTGAAGTATACTTTCAGAAGGATTACATTCGATACTGTTTTGAATTGAGTATGAGAAGAATACTCCTTTTGTTCTTCTCTTCTTAAATAAGCATTTTGCAGAGTTACTGGATTAGTAAATTCTGATACTTTTTCCAATCCAGTGACCAAAACCTTCAGCAGACATTTGGAAATACACAATTACATATAGTATATATGTATAGAATTTGTCATTGTTGATACACAGGTATATCTCTTGATGAGGAAAGACACTTTCATTTACTGTTGTTTGTTAACTTCCCGGTGAGAACCTTTAAATGTCAGAATCTTGAATATTTCATTTTGATTCCTAATTAGAGCCTATTGTATAATTGTCTTTTAAAATGACCAGTATGACCAAGCCGAGTTATTTTTACTGTCTCTGTCCACTGCATTCTACATGTATTATATCTTAATTAGATAAGGTCTGATGTTGTAAGTCACCCCCTTTTCACCTACCACATGCTAGGACTTTTCCCTCTAAAGTTACCATTACCAAGTTATCCCCGTGATTTGGCATTCAGAAGGAATGAGTGGAAGGAGAGAGATGAAGTGAAAATGCCTTAGAGTGGAAACTTCGCAATGGATTTCTTAGTCTTAAAACTGAACAAGATGATGTTATCAGATGGTGAGAGTCTTTTAATAAATATTCTCATCTCCAGTAGAGCAAAGAACTTGAGAGGCTGTATTAAGCTAGACTGCAAGACCATAGGTTAAATTCAGTATTGACAAATGCAAAATAGCCTGCTTTGGGAAGACTAATTAATTTTACATCTATCTCACAAGATTCTAAGTGGAATTGCATCAGAGTAACTGCATACATTAGAATATTGTCTGGACATTAGGGAAAACAAAATTTTAAACCACAAGTAATAGGGAAAGTTATGGAAGACTACATAGCTACTATTTTATTGGTAGAGCTTGATTTGAAATTCCAAGGGCAGTTGTTACTATTCTGTGTAAAACCATGCCAGAAGGGTCTTAAGGGTATGTGAAAGAATGTTAAAGAGCATAGGAAAACTTCCGTAAAGGTAGACTAAAGTTGGCTTTGAAAAGGTAAATAAAAGGAAACCTAATAAAAGAACTCGAGTGCTTTGTGTCTAAGAAATACAAAGACAAACAGAATACAGGAATGAAGGATACTTGGTGAAACTCAAAAGACAATTCATACTGATGAAATAATTTTTCATGCTATATGTAATTAAGTTGGGATGCTCACCACAAGATAATACTAGAGTCTTAAAGACGTTAGCTATCTATTCCTTTTACAGTCTGTTACTAAATATCACATATATAAAAGGCATATAAATAATAAAGTGTTTCTCCATGTGTTTACGTGCAAAGAAAAGTAGTTTTTGAGGATAACAAAGGGACTGGACGGTCAAAACACCACTAAGTATTATTTCAGCCATGGAATTACCTTCTCAGTATCTATGTGGTTTTAACTATTGTTTGTTAAGGCTGTTACAAAACAATAACAAAAATGGTACAAAACATTTTGTATAACTTACCATAGTGCTGTGATAGAATGAATACGAATTAGAAACACACTTGTTTTCTCCAAAAAGCTACTAAGCAATTTACTTGAAATATTCACAGCTTTCTCTGAAAAAGTTTTCTGCTTTTCAAAATCCAAATTAAAGAATAACGTCAAGTGTGGTTTACAGATACTGCATACAGAAAAATATTTGCCTTCTGGCCCCCATTAAGCAGTCTGGAAAACAGTGAGCAATAAGCAAACCTCCCTTTCCCTTTTTCTAGTCCTTTCCACGCCCTCTCCTATTCCTTTCTCCTGCATATATACATCATGCTGGAAATAGCTTGACAGGTAACAGACCCATAGCCATCATGAAGAATGGGTATGTTGATCAAAATAATACGGTAATCTGTTTTCATTTGGGGAATTTATGACTAGTGGTTTGACACAGCCTGGTGGTATAAGTGCACTTTTATGGCAGGACCTTGAAAAATCTCATATTTGAAATATGATATTTGATTCTTATTTTTTAATGTTTGTTGATTGATTTGTATTTATTTGTAATTGATTTGTATATTTTTAGGAGCCCAGGCTTGTGTTCTTGTGTTTTCTACAACTGACAGAGAGTCTTTCAAAGCAATCCCTACCTGGAAGGAAAAAGTTGTGACTGAAGTTGGAGACATTCCCACAGTTCTTGTCCAGAATAAGATTGATCTTCTTGATGACTCTTGTATAAAGAAGTAGGAGTTTTATCTTACTGTTTTTAATGAACAATATATGCCCGCTGTATACATGTGTTCAGAAAAAAAAAAATCTATGGGAGTTTCTGGTGAAGACTTACGATACTTAGTTTGTCAGACCTATACTCTGCATCAAAATGTGCCCTAGAAGCACAGGTGACAGGTATTGCTGCATGAGTGTAGTTAGTTGGGCAGGTGTGCTTGCCAAGCTAGGAGCTTTGTTTTTGCTTCACGCTGCCTTCTGAAGAGTCAGCCAAAAAATGGAGGAATAGCATGAAGAGTTTGGTTGTGCCATGATATGATTGATTCTCTTTTTTTATTTTTAAATCAGAAATTCTAAAACTGTAAATTTTTTCTCCTGTTAAAATTTACAGTTACTGTGAAACTGTGCTGTGCACCAGTGAAGTTACAGTGTCTAGTTTGGCTGGTGAATGCTAGCTAAAATGATGAAGTAGTATTAAACAGGTTGTTTGAAAAAGTATCTTCATGTTCTTTGCCTCACTTTAATTTGTTTTTATTGCTCATTTTTATCAAAACATTATAACTCTATCTGTTAGTATTCTCAAACTGTGCATGGTGCTCTTCACTGTGTTTTTTCTCTATAGATTTTACTGTCAGTTCATTCTGCCTTTGTATATGTGACCAATTTCATTCTTGCCATAAAATCAGCTTAACAAATGCTAACTTTACTTTACCACAGCATATCACGTAGAAAATATTGCATGATGAAGTTGATCATTCTCTACTTCTTTATTTATACCATCTCCCTGAGAGATTTACATTATTTCTTCTTTTTGTTGTTTTCTGCACTGGCTTTCTTCTCTGTTTGCTATCATTGATGGCATAAATCAGCTTCTAGTCCCTCTGCAAAGAATACTGAGGATTTTTCAAAGGAAAAGCAAAATTGCATTTGAACTCCTCCTTTTTTCATGGTGTGTCACTTAGGTTTTGTTCTCAGGATACTCTGTCTCAGTAACTTCATCTTGTTCTCAGAATACTCTGTCTGCCTCAGTAACTTCATCTTTCTGGGGATGTGATCTACCTTGGGGAAATTTTCATAGTTTTCTTCATCTTTTCCTTAAAATGTAGCACAAGTTCTTTTTCATTTCACAGAAGTAATTCTTGATTTCATCTCTGCACTCATCTGATTGCATAGTCTACTGCTTCATTAAAATATATTTAAGATTTACTTTGTTGTTCTTGTTTCAACTTCGCAGTGGTAATTGTTCTGATTCTAGTGTTGTTAATTACAGCCTCTTTCCTTTTGGTTTCACTGACACCTATCTTTGACCCTGGGAAATTTTAGTTAATGAAGTCAATAAATATTGAAAAGCAATCACTTTTGGTCATAAAGAAACTTCATGTAAAATACCTTCTTGTCATAGTGGAGATACTGTAAAGAAATTAAGGATCCGGGGTTTTTTTGAATGTCTGATTTTCTTAACCCATCTTGCAATGTTTAACTTACCAGGAAGCACTTTGTCTGTAAGAATAAATGCTGACAAATAATAGAAATTAGTACTTACAAAGTCATCTTCTATTGTGCAGCGAAGAGGCAGAAGCACTGGCAAAAAAGCTAAAATTAAGGTTCTACCGAGCGTCTGTGAAGGAAGACCTAAACGTAACCGAAGGTACGAGCTAGAGCAGGTGTCTGTCCTGCCTGCTGCTGTGTAGCACTGTACGGCTCTCTAGTTTGGAGCTGATCTGTTACTTCCTATGTTGTTGCATGCTCTTGGCGATCCTTTTTATATTTCTTAGCAGCACGCTTTAAACATAACTAGAATTACTTGATATCAGTGTGTTAGGCCCATTTCTCTGTGTATGTCTTACTTTTCTCTTACACAAACCGTGCATACCTTCAATGTTTAGAAGTGCTGTGTGTTAAGGCTGCTTAGTCCTAATGGCTGTCAGTAAGCACTGAGCTTTTAAAAAAATTATATGTAGAAGTTCAATTATTGCAATATACAAATTTTTGGAGAGTTATTTAGTAATTATTAATAGTTAATAAACAATATAAACAATTATTTCATAGTTTAGTTATATTCAAGTAAAGTACATCAAAAGATTGGATCTCTTGCAGTCTTTTGTCTGCTGGTGATGGTTTATTGGTTCCCAAGTAGCGCTTTTTAATGTACATATTTAATTTCGTAAGAGTACTGTTATAAAATTCAGTCACTGTCTTTTGCGGGGTAGGTTTCAATAATAATGAATTACAGTCTCTGATAACTTTTTGTTTAATCAGGCAAAGTGAATAGTAAACAAATTGTTTCTTCTCTGTTAACATCATTCACTTTGGAAAAAAAATTCTGCAAGAGAAAATGTTTCTGTATCATCTTTCCATGAGTTATTTATTACAAATATAAATAATCATAACACATACAGATTCTGAAAATTCTCCTGTAGATTTTTCAGAATCCTCGGTAGAATTTTGATATCCCAATACAAATGAGGGTAGCATGAGTTAATTAGAAAAATGCTGCTGCTAAATTTTATTAAGAGCCTTACTTTACATGACTGCTGTTATTCTTAAGACTTTTTGCAAAATATATGTATATTAATTTTCTACATAACTTTACAGAGTTCCAAGTTGCATTAATTGGAACATTTGGCAATATGTATGTGCCAGCTTTATTACAGGACGATTGAGATGTTTCTGTCTGCTGTGCACGACCCCAGTACTGGAAACTGTAAGACCTGGGTAGACACTGGACTAATCTGGATTCTGCTCCGGTACGCAGGCCTGCCGAGAGAGAATCACTTACCAGATCGTGCTAAACCTGTGGTGTCGAGTGCACTTTTGTCACCACATAGAAGTTTGATACAAAGGTATTATTATTGATGTGCAGATTATTTTTAAGCATACTCTGATGTACCTTTTTTCATTTCAACATTCTAGTTTTTAAGTATTTGGCTGATAAATATCTTCAAAGGCTCAAGCAACAAACAGCTGAAGATCCAGAACTAGTACATACAAGCAGTAACAAGATTGGTATGTATACTGTAATAAAAAAACCCCCAGAAACAGTATTTTCTGCCATCAAAGCTTATAGTCTCATCCGTGTCGTTATGGAGTTAATAGAGGCTGAATCAGGGTCTAATTATTACCTTCCTGTCTGAGGATTTTGCCGCCTTTCCTTCCGTAAAATAACTTTGTGACTCTCTAAAGTGAAAAGACTGTCAAACTGATGTACTAAAGTTTCTAGCTAATGTTTGGCAAGTGCCCTTTTAGTAAATTCATTTAAATATTGTGTAAGGACTTGAGAAGGGATGCTTCTTGGGTTTTTTAATGCAATTAGTATTTGTGTTACTCATCTTGGTGTGGATTTACAGGAGACTCGCGGTGAAAGAATCTGGCGTGTAATCAGGTCGTCTTTGTAAAATGTCTTTTGTAAGGGAACACTGAACTTCTGTAGTCCTCCGTTAAAGCATTTCTGAGTCAGTTCGTTTATTTTCCTTAAAGCACTCCCTTTTTATTCAGGCTTTTTCCTTACCTTTATCTCAGCAAAGTTTCTAACTTCAAAATTGTCGTGTTTTTTCTTTTATTATATTACTCAACTAACCATAACTTTGTTACCATGCAATTAGTAGCATATGCATACGCAGATGAGTGCATATGCTGCCCTTCAATTACATAGATGTATACCAGCTTTAAATACTGCCTGGCTAGTAATTCCAGCTGGCTCTATTTCAAATTTAGCTGCAAAATTGACCCAGAAGTAGATAAAGCCTTTCAAGATTAAGAGTATGCATTTGAGGTGCACTACTATGCCTTAGTAAGTGTTGCGTCTTACGTGTTAATGTATTATGCTGAAGGAAGTAAAGAAATGCAAATACTTTTCTTCTCTTTAAATTCTGTAGGTGTTTTTAATACAGCTGGTGGAAGTCACTCCAGCCAGAATTCTAGCACTCTTAATGGTGGAGATGTCATCAACCTTAGACCAAACAAACAGAGGACCAAGAAAAACAGAAGTCCTTTTAGCAACTGCAGCATACCTTAGACCACTTTGGGAGGAAGAAAACCCAGTCCGGTGAATTGGATGAAGTTGTGCAATTAGGTACAGAATAAAGCCAGCTGTAGAGGTATTTTTACCAGTGCTTTAGCAAATCTTGTGGCAATGGGATCCTTGATAAACTTGCTGATGCTGTGGGTTTGGTGTGTAGAATGAGACACCTGGTGGCAAAACACAGAACCGTGGCTGCCCCATGCACTTTGTAAAATTTAGGCAAGCTTCTCCTTTTTCAAGGAATTATTTACAGAGCTATCAACTAGGTATTGCTGAATCGCAAAGCACGTTTAACATAGGGGTAATACTTACAAATATAGGTACAGACCGTAACACCTTGGCCCAAGGTACAGTAGCAACCTTGCAACTAAATTTCAAAGAAAATGTTAGAATTTGTTGGTCAGGATACTAAGATAAATGAAGAGCAACAAGAAGACACTACATGTTATGCCTGACTGTATTAATATGGATTCTGGCAGTTCTGTCAGTGCAATATACTTGTATTATATATATGAGTGCTAAGGTATAGATACAAACATTTGGTATGAATATTTAGGCTAAATTCCAATGTATACATTACTTGGAGATCAGCTAATGATCATAAAATGACATCTTCCAAAAAAAAAATTCCTTTAAAAATGTTGCATTTCAGATGAGGCTTTTCCAGCTGCTGCTGTGTACATTTAACTTACTAGACTTTGGGCCTAAAAGCTTAGATTTTAAAAATGTATGGTGCCAAAAATGCTCCTTCTTTTTACCTAATGCTGCGCTACAGATGTTTTTGTAAGTTTGTTTTTGTCAGTCTTAACAAGTTGAACAAATAACACAGTCTTTGATACTAATAGCTATTCAGAAGGAAGATATAATATAATCATATTCCTGTTCAAATTTGATTGTTGTATCCTGTGTTGTCTATGAACAAGTTTGTAAAGTGGTGTCACAAAATATTGATCATCTTTGAAAAAAATTTTCATAGATACCGTAAACTAAGTTATGGAGGATCCAAAAAATTGCAGCTGATGACTGAATAACATTAACAAGACATTCTTGAATGTTCTCTCAGATTCAGAGTTAGCTGCTGGTTACAGAAAATCTAATTCTGCAAGATCAGAGACATGGCAAAAATTTTTCAAAGTGCTAAAGTAATTTTACAGAATTGATTTAGATGTTCAGGAGCCCAAATCTAAATTACAGTTATTTGGGGTTAGGGTCCTAAATCACTAAGGTGCTTTTAAAAATGCTAAGGAAGATACCTTTTATTTACCAAAAATGAACACTTTTTAATCCTCTTCAAGAGCATGCATGCCTTTTTAAAAAATATCCATTTTGTTTACATGTTTTTGTATGGTATGATATAATTTTAACTTTCTAGGATTTCTACAACAAACCTGCCGGTGACAAATGCAAAATATGCTGCTTGAATGAATTCAGAGTTTTAATAGTTTTTTAAATGGTTTATGAGAATGAAAATGAGTTGAGTGATCCTGTATATTTTTGGGGGAAGGACTTTTCACTGTGTGAATTCATGTAGGAAGCTTGACTTACTTTGTTTCTAAGTCAATGAGTATGAAAACTGAAATGTATTCTTTTTCCCACTGTCTGCAGGGAGAGAAGTGGGTGGCAAGTTATGCACAAACACTAAAGATCTCTGAACTCTGTATTTTATGTTTACTATATTAGACTTTTTACGAGTACCGTTGTTTCTTTGACAAGTTGTTAGAGCATCTCCTGTTGCTGGCAAGAAGGTGCTCGACCCCCTTTGCTATTGCAGCAAAACTGTGCATTCTTCCCATAACGTTTCCTGACTTTTTTCTTGGATAAAGGCCTTTATTTTTTAACAAGTGCATTTAATCACTTTATGTATGTACAAATGGCGTCGAGTCCTGTCTTAGCAATTTAAGAAGTAAGGTACTTAGGATAAGACTTATGATTGTACATCATGGGGCCACCTACAACTTCAGGATGTAGGATAGCGCGTATGCGTGAAGAATTTTGACGATTGTATTTAATATGGAAACTTTACATTTTGTTGTCTGTCTGCCAGTTTCACATTTTTTTATTCATTTTTCTTGAAAAAGAAAACCACAAAGTGTCTGGAACATCTTTTTTGCCTTGTTTGACTTTGTACAGAGTACTGAAAAATAAGTTTTATTACGTTTAATGACCATTTGTACTATTGCATGTTATACTGTAGACATTGTGCTATTACTTAAGCCATTTGTATTTAAAAGTCTGTCATTACAAACCACTCTTTTAAGGACTGAAAACTCAGTAGAAATTTTCATAGGTGGAAACTTGACAGACTTGCTAAATTTAGGTTATGTTGAAATTTAGTACACATACACTTTAACGTAGGAATATATATTTACAGTGAGTTTTAATTTCATGCCCGTCTTAAATCTAAAGTGGCTCTTCTTTGTTGTGACTTTGCAGTGCTCGTTCTCCAATACGACTGAGATGGAGACTGTCCAAATTAGCATTTTTCTGGAGAGTGCTCTGCATGTACGCTGCTTGAAAATTTAATTTTTATCCCGCTGGGGTTAGCGTGTAGATGTAAACCAGATGACTTGCACATTGTAGGAATCCTTAAGTATTCACATCACTATTCAGTGGGAGTAACTTTTGCCTTTTGGATGAAGAGAGGTGCCTAAATGTGCAGCACTTGCATTGTCCCGTGTGAATCATTTTTATTATAAACATCGCCCCACTCTCCGCTCAAAGTGTTCTCATTAAAATATCGTATGTTTTACTTTCCAAAACCTACAGGTGCCGGGCTGGTAATAAAAATGCCCTTCTCTGTGCATCTGTGTGATTGCATGGTGGGAGAGGATGTAGTTCTGTTACACCTGGGGCAGATCAGCATCCTGGATTAGGAGCAACAGATGTTCACACCACAAAACATGAAGTTTTCTTCTGTGAGACTAAGCTAATTGCACTCCTATCTGTTAATATCTCTTGAATAGCTCATTGGATGTATTATCTGAATCTTGCCAGAATTCTGTGCTTTCAACTGATAACGCTACCACTAGTAGAAAACTTCAGTAATCATTAATGCCTTAGTGAAATAAGCATTCACTAAAGAGTATGACGCTAAAGCACCTCCCGCTCCCGTGTTGTGTCCATTCAGTGAATGGGTGTTCTCCCAGTAAGTGGGGCATCATTCGATGCAAAGCAGTAACGCTAGAGATGTGTTTCCAACTGGAAATGACAAATCTCAAAGTTGTAAGACCGATCACACTAAGATTTTTGTGCTTGTGTGTATGTGGATAATTTTTTAAAAAATTAAATATTCTGATTAAGACAATTTCGGAGCTTTCTTATTTTCAGTGTTTCTTAAGAGAACACTTACCTTTTTTAGTCAGAATGCCTGAATTACTATACTGTCAGTCTGATTTTCTGTTTCATTTTTTTATGCTCCAGTAAAAATGCTCTTTCTTCCCCCCCCCCAATATTGGGCTACAGCATACCTGACACATAGTTTTCCTTTGCATCACTTCTGTAGATGTACATTACACTAAAGGGAATTGAGCAGGTGAGCACGTCGTACTGCCTGGAGGTTATGCAGAGGCACATGCATAATACTCAGTGTACATGCACTTTGAACCTGTTAATGAATCTATTCAAGTTGATAGCTACCAGTTAATAACAGAATTAATTATTTGCACTGCGGAAACCTCTTGTGGGAGTTGAGTCATACAGTAAACTAAGAGATGTGCTTTTTGGATTCCAGTGATGGTGCCTAAGCCCCTACTGCTTTTCTAAATGTAATCACAAACCTTTGGCTGAAGTTGCAGAACCTGAACTGTAACTGGATGTAAGCTAGAGAACAAGTGTGGTCCAAGCAGCTTGATTTCATCGAAACTACCGTACCATCTTGTAGGAAGCAGCAACTGTGCACATCTTCTTTTTAATGCTCAAGTAGTATTGACAGAAGAGAATACTTTGTTAAATATGGTATCCAAACAGAAAATAAAACTATAGAAGAAAAAATGCAGCAATTTTTAGATTTAAGATGAAAGGTGCTATAATAGAATAAGAGAAACTTTCAAACAGTATGTGTGGAAGAAGTGTTCTGTATGAGTCATCTCAAAGCCAGGTGAGTCCTAGTACTGAACTAGACTCATTCTCAGGTTTCTAGTAGTAGCGTAATACTGATACATAATTTGTGGAGTGAGTATTCTTTTTTCGCTTACTGAGATAAATGTGGTTTAGCAGAACTGACTCAAGTTCATCAAAAAAAGTAAAAACTAATCTGGATCAGGAGAAATCCCACTCTCGTTGCTAGGATAAAGATGCATCGTTACTAATAAATGACTTGCAAGTTCACATGAATCTGAATGGTTAATACAGATAATGTACATAACTCTTTATTACCATCGTGATCTCAAGTAAATGTAATATATTTTTAGATAAAAGACTCAACATAACTTACAGTAAATCCTCAAGTGGGAAAATAAATGTTTAAAACTGAATATTCTGTGTATGCTGTTCCTGTAAAATCCCTACCAGTTAACTCTCTTCTCTTGTACGTGACATGAGTTGTATCATGCAACTTAAGCATGTTGATTTGATCGCTGTTTGATCCAATACAGGTCACTACTTCCATGGTTATAGTGTCAGTGTATTAAACTGCAAAAAAGTGCCGTAACCCTGTAGCTGTGCAACCTGAATCTGCTCAAGAACCGTGTGTGCCTGATTGTAGTCCGTGCGTGGGGATCCAAGGCAGCACATGTAGATACTCTCAAAGGACCAAGTGTGGGCAGCCCAGTCTCATATAAATGCTGTTTCTGAGCTCTTGCCTTTCATTTCTCCAGCGCACAGTTTAAATACAAAACGCAGATTCTGTTCTGCTCTTTCTCATCATTTTATTTGTTGTGATTGGTCTTGCTAATGCAGTGACAAGGTTTAAGTGAATGGTTGTAGACATTGGGAGTGGTATTAAAATATGATTAATATATCAAAGAGGCCTGATGCATTTTCTGAGAAGAAACAGGTAGATAGTCACTTATTTTACTACTTTTTTAAAGTAAAACAGAACTTGCAGCATCTGGGTCTGCCTGTACCCAGGTATTTGAGGAATCTGTGAAGTAAGGTGCTCCTGCTTCCTCTTGCATGCAGTCTTGTACACAGAAAACCAATTTGTTGGCTTAATCCAATAAGGATTAATTAGTAATGGTTTAGGCAAGAAAAAATCCTGAAATGTGAGAAAACTCACGTT